AAGAAAATATGAACTTTTCTGTGCCTAATTTCTTTCAATCAGCATGGCATATTTGAGACCCATCTGTCACAACATCTACAAATGGTAATGGTCCATTGCCTTTTATTACTAAGCAGTATTCCACTTTATCTACGTATTAGTTTATCTTTTCTCCATCCAGCTTTGACTATGAACAATATTGTCACTAAATTTTTGTATAAGGAACAAACACATTGCATCACTTTATGGGAATTTCTTCTAAGACCCCCCTTGCCCCAAGAATGGCAGAAACTGAGAGCATAGTTCTGAACCCTATGTAGACAACGAGTACTCCCGTACAATAAGTACCTAAAAAGAACTTTAATTTATACACTAGGTATACATTATGTATCATTAATAAAAAAATCACAGCCATATAGTATAATGAGAGTTATTTGAAATGTACTTCATAGAATCTTACCAAGCTCCCTCTTCTAGTGACGACACAATGAGTATACAGTGAGGATGATAGAGATTTAGGTTGTTACATACATAAAGGTATTTGAACACAGCCTGTGACACCTTGACAGTCAAGCTGATAATCAAGATGGATAAGAAGTAATGGTTGGATATGAAGCGTGCAAAGCATGGAAAAGTTGAACAAAGAATAATTCATGACCTAGACAGAGATATGAGACGTTTTCTCAAATCTTTTTTGTTTCATTTTGTTTTTGAGAGAGGGTTTCTCTGCTTAGCACTGGCTGTACTGAACCTCTGTAGACCAGGCTGGCTTCAAACTCACAGAGATCCATCCATCAATCTTCCCAAGTGCTAAGATTAAAGGTACATGCCACCACCACTTGGCTATTTACTCAAATATTAAACTTGTGTGATTAAGTTCAGATGAGAATTTAAGAGATTTAGAAGCTAGAAAGCTACTTAGCTTTGCTGGCTTGTCTCATTACAACACTAGGACCAAATGCATAATCTGGTTAGTGATTAGGTCCAAATTCTACACTTTTGAGTCCAATTTATTGTTCTATCAGTATTACAAATCTGGATGGCACAATCACTTGGACCTCACTTTACCTTTTTTTTTTTTTAAAAAAAATCTAACTTACTTCAAAGGAAGAATGTGTAATAAAACATCTTACAAATGGGTTGTTAGCTCTTCAGGAAAAAAGTTATGAAACTAAGTATGAACCTGAAATGCTAACTAATAACATAGCTTTATAAAAATTAATTAGGAAACACAGTGGCCTAGAGGGTCTTAAAGATTATTACCACTGTTTAATTTTTGTGTGTGTATTTATGTTAGGGATTAAACTCAGGGCCCTGCAAATGTCAGCAAGCACAGGCCTTTAGCCACACCCCGGTGCATTTTAAAAATGTATTTGGAACAGGCATGACTGGTGAGATAGGTGGAGAGAAACTTGCCACCAAGCTTGATGACCTGAGTTTGATCCAAGGATAAAGGTTCTAAGCCATTTTCTGACCTCCACACATGCTATGGCACGCACACGCCCCCTCCAATACAAACATGCAATAAATAAAAATTGAATGAATAGAAGCTATCCAATACTGAGTTAGAGACATACATGTATACAAGGGGTTATTCTCCCATGCATAACAAAAGAGATTAAAAAATTTAAAGTCTAAAAGTAAAGTAGCCTTTAAATTACAATGCCAAACACCAGAAATATAAAAAATCTACTAAATGTCTGCTCTTAGACTAGACTACGAAGTAGGCGCAAATAATTGAGCTACAATGCTTTAAATAAATTATATACAAGCAGCTTTATAATAGGGGTGGCAATTGTACAATGAAAAGGAGATCTGGGAAGATACTGATAGAAATACTCGATTTTTAAGTGCAGTAACTGTATGGTATTTTGTGTTTAGACAAATAAAGCTTGCTTGGAAATCAGAGGGTGGAGCGAGCCACTAGTTAACTGTAGAGGTCAGGCAGCGGAGGCAATCACAGCACTTGGGAGGAAGAAGATCCACAGTTCAAGGCCAACCTGGGGCACAAGAGTGAACCAGGAGGTGGTGGCTCCAGCCTTTAATCCAGCACTAGGGAAGTGGAAACAGGAATTTAAGGCAAGTAAAAACAGGATCTCCCCCCCCCCCCCCCCCAGTCAGTCTAAGGATTCCTAGAGACAGGATTTCCCCAATTTAGCCTGAGACTTCGTAGTGGGAAGGGGCTGGCCGCTCTGCTTCTTTGATCTTTCACCCTAAATATCTGACTTGACTTAGGGTTTTTACTGTTAAGACTAATTAGGATTGTGCTTCAAGTGATCATCACATCTCTGGATGGAGGCTTACAGAAACCCTATGAAAAGATTAAGACTTTATTCTCACCCCATATTTCAGATGAAGAGAATGACACTTAAGGCGAGTTGCTAGCACATATAAATGATATTACAATTACTGCAGAAAATTCTATTAGATATCAACGAATGATTCTATACCCACCCTTCAACTATGAGAAAATCAAGGTATCTGATGCTGTCCCACAAGGCCACAGGGCTTGACAGTGGCAAAATTGCAACTCAAGCCTCTTCTAACAGTGTTCCCCTGACTATCACTACCCCTGTTTCTTACATTCAGGGTTTATTCAAGCAGATTTATAGCCTTTAACTTTTCATTATGCTCTCTAGCAAAGCCAGAAGAGAAATTATAAATTCATGGCATGGGGGGGGGGTCCTTAATAAAAAAGCTTAAGAAATATTAAGTTCTTGGCTGGAGATGTAGTGTAACAGTGCTCGGCACACATGAGGTTCTGGGTTCACTCATCATCACTGCATAAACTGGATATGCTGGCCCACGCCTATGAATCACAGCAAGTTGCAGGCCAGGAAGGGATATTTGAGACCCTACCTCAAAACAAAAATCAAAAATTCCATGACAATCTAAAAGTAAAATATGCATCTTTGTATTATTATTAAGGTACTAAGGATACCCTATTAGGACTTATTAGAAGATAAATCTAAGCTTGTAAATACAATCTTTATGATTTTTACTGTCATGTATTTGAAACCCTGAGACAAAGGACAACTTATGGTCTTTGAATTTTATGTGGAAGGCTAATTCTCCTGTTGTTTTTGTGAAATGGGGGTTTTTACTGTACAGCCCTGCATACGCTGCCCCTTGGATGGTGGGATTAGAGGTAAACACCACTATCTCTGGCCTAGGCAGATATGGAAACAATTTTAAAGATGAAAAGGTGAGAAATAAGGAGCAATACAAAACAGTCGATTTCTCTAATTTTAGAATGTGGTTATTCAGATCACTACTGGCTTTCAGTAATTTAGTACTTTAATGGGTATGACATTAACACACAGTTTTTATTCATAAACTACAATTATGTTTTAGTCTGAATTCTGTGTTTTAACACAATTTAAAATAATCTGCTTTACTTTTATTTACAAAAGTAACTAAGGGACAAGAAGGAGCACCTGGGTATCAGGAAAAGACCAAGATAATAAGATCCGTGTATATAGCCAGTCATAAAAATACAGTGATGCCCTCTTCAAAAAAAAAAACAAAAAACCAGTTGTTCCTGTCTAGTATGTTTAGAATGCAAATGCTTCCAAAGTCAGTCAAATTACGTCATGACGGCTCATGTTTAAAGTTAGCAGAAAAAAACAACTTAGAACTCTATAGTGACTCAAATTTCGAAGATGTGAGTAAAGAGCTCCGCAAATTTTCACAGCTAGGATTCAAATCTACATTAAACTTTAGTGACTAGCCCTGCGAGAGGACACTGTATGCTGAAGTTCACAGAAAGTTACAAAATGGCTAAAAACCTTGGCTCACCAGAAGACATTATCAACAGACACTTATTCAAGACAGATTTTGCCCTAATCTGCAATGCATTTGCAATCCTTGAATATGGGGTTCTATATAAATAGAAGCTACTTGGTATTCAGAGGAGGTGGTGCAAAAACAGCTATTTTCTTTCTAAACACTCTTAGGTGCTGAGGTAAACAGTCTGAAACAGAAGAGCAAAGCAACAGTCTCTATCATAGGTTGGAGAAGAGAAACAAGTTTGCTTTAACAGTATCAGGAGCTACTGGAAGTTAAGCACATCAGTGGGTGCCAATCTGTGTCTGCAAGTGAACTACGAAGGGACAAATTCTGGTGCATATTAATGCTGGGAGGACTAAAAATACTTAAAACTCAAAAGTAAACATTAAAGTACTATAAACCTTTTCAGTCTCGTATAAGATATAATTGTAAGGGGGGGAAAAGGATGGCTCAGTAGGTAAAGGTGCTTTCTGCCAACCTTGATGACCTGGGTCTGATTGCTGGGTTCCACATGGCAGAAGATGAGGTGATGACCTCAATCTGTCTTCTGACCTATACACACACAATGTAGTATGCCCTACCCCATAAATAAATTAATGTTAAAAAAGAGCATTTTTGACATTTTGGAGGGGACACGGGTTTGCAAAGACCACAAGTCAAACTGATGGGAAGGAATAGTTCTGATTATTTTGTCTTCCAGGTATTGCCTTTATCAGCGTCAGTACTATTCCTTCCCCAGGTCCGATTTTAGACCTTTTTAGGAAAAGTGATTCAGGCAACAGGCAAATGTACAATGACAGTACTAAGGAAAGAAATGGGGTTAAAATCACTAATCTCAAAAAGTCCTGAAGTCCCACACAGCAACAGTCTGGCTTCCGGGAGAAAAGTACCAACCATGTTCAGCCATGTAAGTAGCACACTAACAACTGACCCAGAGAAGTTTTCAGTTGGCCTTCACTATCTCTTAACTCTCCCCACCCCCCTGCACTTCCCTGCTCTTCTTTCCTGGCACACAAAATATAGGCCAATGAGCAGTGGGTGGGTGAGGAGGATGTGAGAACAAATTTGAGAAGTAAAAAAGGGAGCAACTTAACCAGGGCATGAATGAGACTGAAGGGTCTAACACGGGCAGACGAACAAGTATCAGAAAGACTGGAAATAACGGAAGGTGCCTTCCTCGGCTGCAGCGCGTGTTCTATGTGTGTAGTTTAAGTAGAGGTCAGACTACCTACCACTTGTCGGAAGCCGGACAGGGGCGGCTGCTTTGGGTGACTTCTAGTGTCTCTTCCGACTCTGAAATGTTAGGATTTCTAGTTCACAAAGGAGACCGTGAAGATGATGGAAGTCCACCGACTTGGAACTCTTCTGAAGCAGCAGCCTTGGCGGCTGACTCCCCAACATCACTCCTACGTCTCCCTCCCACACGTGCCCACCCCGCCCCCTTTCAATAGCAGCACCTCCACGTGCAAAATGCCTCCCGGCACTGGCCCCACTCTAGTGGGCTCCTTCCCCTGCAAAGCCCTGAAACTCCGTCAGCGCCTGCCCCCACACCCCAGAGAAGTGAGGACACCACTCTCCCACCCTTGGCAGCTAAAAAAGGAAAAGTCTCCCATCTAGACTTTCTCCTCAGCCAGAACGGGGCTGGGGACAGGCAGAGAAAAACTTTCTTCTCATATATATTTTTTTTTCCTTTCCCAGAAATTTGAGAGGACCCCAAGTTAGAGGTTGAGGGGGGAGGGGAACCCCTTGAACGTTAAACGGCCAGTAGGGGGAGGGGAGCTCTGGAGACGGAGGGGGCGTGGGAAGAAGAAACAGCCCCGCGAGCGGGGTCCCGGAGTGGCAGGCGTCCCCCCCCAACCTGGCACACAAAGCGGCTGCTGCGCTAGGCTCTCACCAGATCCTTTGTGTTTTCCATCAGGGCCTCATGGGTAGGGGCCGTCCGTGCTCCCCGAGCCCGCGGCGCCCCCTCCCCCCGAGCAGGGGGCGGGCGCCTCTCCCCGGGACTGTGGCGACTACAGGGGGGGACCCCCGGCTGGGCCCGGGCCAGTGGCGGCAGTGGCAGCCCCGGATTTCCCCCCTTTAACTCGGGTGGCCCCAGGATATCAACAACATTAGCATAGCCCTCCCTCCCCAGCGCGCCTGCGCCGTGACCCGCGCCCCGATTGGCCCACTTCCCCACGTACCCTCCTCTCTCCCCTCCAGCGTGGGACCCTCTGCAGGCTCCGTACTCCAAGGACCGTACCAAAACCAGCAGGCGATGAGGTAATGCGGGCTCGCGGCAAGGCGCGGGGCCCAGAGTCAGCAGGAAGAGGAGTTTCTGTCAGCCGCTTTCATTTCTACCCTGGCCTTCTTGAGTCCCTTCCAATATGTTGCCTCTGAGAAGTTGTGCTGGGAAAATTTTCCACTCCAGTCACGCCGCTTCCCCCTACACCCGGAAGATCGGCCTTCCCAGAGGAACTCCCACACGGGGAGGGGCTGCCGGGCTGAGTGCGAGTGACGTAGCGCGTGAGTGGCGGTCACGTGGCTCGAGGCGGCGCAGGCTCCTTCCGGCTCCCTGGGGCTGGGCCGCGGCGGTGAGCCAGACGCCCTGGCACATGCGCAGTGGTGCTCCACGTGAACGTCTGCGTTTCTCCTCAGCCCTGGGGATGCCGCCGGAACGCCGGAGCCGGACGAAAGCAGAGCGGGGAGCCGGCACGATGCCGGGGAGGCAAGCCCGACCCGGGAGCGGCGGCACGCCCCGAAAGGCCGCCCGTTCATCCCAACGGGCACCGCAGGCCGGGCAGCGGGCGGCCCCTAGAGCGGTCACTGCGGCGGCGGCGGCGGAGGAGGAGAGCCGGCTTCGGCAGCGGAACCGCTTGGTGCTCGAGGACGACAAGCCGGCCGCCGAGCGGTGTCTGGAGCAGCTGGTCTTCGGCGACGTCGAGGACGACGAGGACGCGCTGCTGCGGCGGCTACGGAGCTCGCGGGTGAGGGAGGCCCGCTCGGTGAGCGGGCACACGCTCCGGGCCGGGCGCGCGGCGGGAGGCGAGGCCCCGGGGGCGGAGCCTGGGGGACCTGCGGCGGCGGGCGCCCAGGTGGGAGGGACCGGCGACCGCGGGCGCCGAGGGGCACCGCGGCGCCTCTGGCGTTGGGCCGCGGGCTGGCGAGGGCGGAGACGCCGCCTTTCTCCGCCCCAAAGGGGCCGCGGCGCTCCGCAGCCAGCAGGCGCTCCAACCGCTGGCTTGGTCTGCGAGAAGGCCGCCTGCAGCTGGATTCGGCATCTTCGCGTTCTCACACCGTCTGCTGGAACCGCACGGGTGGCCGGTGGATCACCTGTCGCGATTCCGTTTCGTGGATGGAGCCAATACGTGGGCAGAAGGCGTAAAGCTGCGTTTTAATAGTTTCCTCATGTGATGCACACCTCCCAGCTTTTGGGAATGATCGGTGTATTCGTCTCTAATTTTTTTTTTTTTTGGATGCTTACTCTTCGTAGAAATTACAAATCCTTCATGATTGATAAATTTTGCGCTGCCATCACTAATGTTCTATACTTGGCCCGTCGCCTAAGGTATTCTAGGCACTGGAGAGAGATACAGCAATGGAGAACTCCAACCAAAACCCCTGCTGTCTTATAGCTTGGGTATAAGAAAACAAGCTTGTGTATAGGAAAACAAGATGAGGGAGCCCAGTAGTAAAGTTAAAGTATGTTGGTGGAGAGGAAAACTAAAACATTTGGGAAAGGGAGTTAAATTTATGTAGAGGCGTTTTTTAGATAGGGTGGCAAAATGCCTCAGTGTCAGCATTTGTTGAATAATCTGAGCTTTTGTGTGGGGGCTTCAATGGGAGGATGTAGCAGGCTTCTTTGGGAGGATGGAGAATAGTTAGTTACCTTCTGAGTTGTGTGACGGGCCTGTATCAGAAAGGAGACTTTGGTGGATTTTAGTGCAGGTGGATACTGTGGTTGACTCCTTAGACGCTGGAATGAGCTCAGCTCATTTCCAGGGGATTTAATTTTGGGAGGAGGCGGGGGCTAGTTTAGGATTGAGTGTGGTATGAAGTTCTGAGGAGGTTGAGACCGAGCACACAGAACAAGAGATCCTCCTTAGGATGGGAGAGGTGGATTCCAGATGGCCCTGGGTTCTGCCACAGTTGAAGTTGAGATGTTTATTCTTTCCCTGTCCACTTACTTTTTTCCCTTGTCTATTGTGGTCTTTTCCTTCCAGTGTGCTTGTCTCTCGGTGGCTGTACCATCCTGTCTCTCTTGCCCCCCTGGTGGTTCCGATCTCCCTTCCTGTCTTCTTCAGCATGTGCTATGGTCCTGTTCCACCGCATTATCTCATCAGGAGAGCAGACATTCTACAAGCCGTCTTAAGTCTAAGGTGTGGGTGTCTGCCACCACCCCGTAGGAAAGTCGCAGTGACTTGAAGATGGTGTGTCTCCATAGGGTCAACAGCAAGGAAGCTCGGGTGACTCTGAAGTGGAAGATGAAGCAAAAGATAATCTTCCGACTCAGAAGAAGCCGGTTTGGGTGGATGAAGATGACGAAGATGAGGAAATGTAAGTTACCCATTTCTTTCAGAACCTCTCTGGGCACTTTAAGAGTTAACTTGTAGATTTTTACAAAGCACTGTCTTGAAAAGTATGATTATATGAAGAACGAAAGAACATTTGGAAGCCCAGGAAAAAGGTGGTTGGTAATTCTGCATCTGAGAGAATGGTGCTGTTAGATTGATAGTTTTCTGTTCTCTGTGTGCCGGATAGTCAGTGGAGTTAGAGCTTAGCTTGCCTTCGGGATGCCATGGGATGGTTCCGGACTACCATGGACAAGTTTGGAATCTACTCCTCATTTGTAAAATGAGTGTCAGAATAGTGACTGAAGCAGAAGGCCATTTGGATTAAATTATGCATATAGAATTTTTAGCTTGGTGCCTGGAACTCCGTGAAGACTTCACGTAAAGCTAGCACACTGTTACATGAGCGCATGCTGCCTGCTCAGTTTAGTAGTTTCACTTACTATCTCAAGTGCTATTTGAAGCATGGCACCTCACCTTTGAAAAAGACCTTTATAGACAGCTTTTTAAGTGGCTGTGTTGTCCTTTGTATGAGTCAAAAATTTATTGGCCAAATAAATTTTCTGTTTTGATGGAGGAAGGTCATTGGCTAATAAAGGAACTGCCTTGGCCCATTTTATTGGTTAGAAGATAGGTGGGAGGAGTAAACAGAACAGAACGCTGGGAGGAAGAGGAAGTGAGCTCAGACTCGACAGCTCTCCTCTCGGGAGCAGACGCCTCAGAGAGACGCCATGCTCCTGGCTCCTGGGCAGACGCACCCTATGAAGCTCCAACCCAGGATGGACATAGGCTAGAATCTCCCCGGTAAGCGCACCTTGGGGTGCTACACACAGATGATTAGAAATGGGCTAAATTAAAATGTGAGAATTAGCCTAGAAGAGGATGGGCCAAGCAGTGTTTAAAAGAATACAGTGTCCGTGTAATTATTTCGGGGCATAAGCTAGCTGAGCAGGCAGCTGGGGTGCTGGGGACGCAGCCCTGCCGCCCCTATTTACAACACTGTTTCATTGTAAGAATGCTGACATAAAAATCTTCATGAAAGCCGGGCGATGGTGGCGCACGCCTTTAATCCCAGCACTCGGAAGGCAGAGGCAGGCGGATCTCTGTGAGTTCGAGGCCAGCCTGGTCTACAAGAGCTAGTTCCAGGACAGGCTCCAAAGCCACAGAGAAACCCTGTCTCGAAAAACCAAAAAAAAAAAAAAAAAAAAAAAAAAAAAATCTTCATGAAAAAACTTTTGTGTTTCTAATTAATTTCTTAAAGATTTTTTGAGGGTAGTGCTCTTTGAGCAGAGACTACATGTATTTTAAGGTTATTGGTAAATACTGCCAGATTGCATAAAGGATCATCTTCCTCATGTAAAGTGTGGATTTCAGGGCCTTTTTGTTTGTTTTATTTTATTCAGTGAGTGTTGTTTTGCACACTTTCTTAGTTTGATGGTAGGAAAATAACCCTACTGAAATTGTGTTGAGGGAAATTGATATAGTTACGTGTATTATATATGTTCTTTATTATTTTCGTTTTTTAGAGATCTTAGTGTCTCAGATTTCTTACATACTAAGAATTTCAAACTTTTATTTGCTAGAGGTTGAACCCAGGGTCTGTGCATGCTGAGCATATACTTTGCTGTTGAGCGTTATTCCTTCCTCTTGAGCCTCCAAGTCATACTTACAGTGTGTTTTCTTTTATCTTTCTTATGCACAGAGATTTTCAATTTTCAGAGAGTTCAGACTTTGAGTCTTTTCAAATTTTATTTTTGTTATTTAACAGTAAAAGGTCCTTTATTAGACAGACTGTTGTTTGCCTATAAAGTACAGGCAGTATTTGATGGTTTGCTCTTAGTGCATTTGAGTTGCCTAGGATATTTTGGAGAGTGATCCGAAGTGTATCTAGATAATTCAGGATGAGTTTACTTAAATATTAGCTCTCCAGAGCATATGAGAGACTCAGGAGGAAGAATGGACAACACACCAAATGGAGGTATTTGAAACACACGTCTTGCAGTCTAACTTCACTGTTTAGTAAATGTTTCTTCAGAATACTAAAGGCATCATCATTTTATTATGGTTCTTTGCAAATCATTAACAATATGCTTGTTCTGTGCTTTGTAGAGTTGACATGGTGAACAATCGGTTTCGGAAAGATATTATGAAAAATGCCAGCGAAAGTAAGCTCTCAAAAGATAAGCTTCAAAAGAGACTTAAAGAGGAGTAAGTATCCCTTTTCCTGTGATTTATCAAGAGGTATATTACCAGACATTTGTTTCTCTTTAGAACAGCTTTTTGGATAGTCACATCTGTACCATGAAAAGGTAGTCATTACTTGCTTGGTGACTTTGTGTAAGTATTTATGGCAGGGAATACAACAAAGATAATTTGAAGTGGGAAAAAACCCCAATATCTTGAAATGCTACCACTTAAATATAGTAAGTATTACTGGATCATTCATATGTATGTAAGTCAACTCTATCAAAACCCTTTTCCCCAAGACAGGGCTCTCATTGTGTAACCTCATCTAACCTCAAGACGAGCTTCTCCTGCCCTTGCCTACTGTACTGGAGTTACTGGTAAGCACTACTATGCTTGCCTTTCTCTGGAATATGAAAAATATGAAA